CGGGACAGTAGCAGCCAGGTAAGCACAAATCAGGCAAAACTGGACAAGCGCCTGGTATAAGGATGTTATCACAGGTCGTTTCACAAATTTTGTTAAAGCATTCCTGATACACTTGTGGTGCCTCACATTTTCCGGCTGCAAAATAAAAAAAATCCGGAATTTTAATCTCATATGTGTTACGATCAAATATTAGTCAATATACTTATCAGTAATATATCAAATATCAATATAGGTAGTCAAATCCAGGCGTTGGCTTTTTTTTTCCACGTCAAGGTGAAGTCATAAACGAAGTATAATGGCATTCTCTTCAACTCAAACACTAAAGTGCTTAAAAAATATCATTTCTGGTTATTATTGAATCATTCTTATACAAGAGGAATTTTCCAAAGCTTTGGCAGCATTTCACTGCATTTTACGATTTATCCTGTTAGGACTTTGGAATAATTTCAAAGAATCGATGAAATATTTTTAGCGAGGTACAGACCAGTGATTAGACGTGTCCGTGATATAGTACTTTAGGTTATGGTGTCCCAGTATATGGTATGAAAAACTTACGGCAGTTGTAAGTTGCACGCCAATTACTGGTTTGAATTGAGTTGGTGGACGTTTCACATTCTAACATAATACGCTCCAACGCAGCGCAGCGGCATTCTTCAATGGAGCGACTCATCTCCATGCAAGAGCATATGCTCTCGATACAACTTATTTCCAATTTGTCTGTGCCCAATTTTGCACAGCTTTCTTTGAAGTGTTCATTCCTGTGGGAGAAAAGGAAATCAGCCGACTTAATTTATGTTTAATTTATAAAATGCATCCTTTATAAAGACCGAGAGATAAAAAAAATATTAAATACAGATTATTCAGATTATAAATTAAATTATAGATTCATACTCGACAATAATACTATCAAATTTTTTAAAAAAAATGGATCTATCCCCGTGGATGCAATATTTGCCGCCATCTTGGATTTAGGGTTTAAATTAAGGCCAGGGGAGATTTTTTACCCAAAATTGGGATTCCTGGACGAAAATGGCATACTCCCTCTAACACATACTCAATTTCATGATGGTCATTGTTTTAAAATCACATGAGCCCTCTCAATTGAAAAAAACAGGCGACTAATAGATATGAAAGCTAGTAAGTGTACAATTAAGTTCAAGGGTATAATCACCTTAATATTGAGCAGTAACTAGAAGCTTGGTCTAACACAGCTGATGAGCATGCTGGCATTTGACAAGACGAACTATTGCCCCACGAGGCTAAAAATTCGTCGACATTCTCAGCCAAAGAGCCGTGCGGCATGGAGAGATCATCCGCTGGGTTGTCATTGAAGAGTCCGCACAGTCCATCAACTCGCTTCGCATAACTTGCTGGGAGCTGATAGGGATGAAAAATAATATTTAAGGAAGTTGATGAATAATTGAAAAAATTTAAGCACGATGTCTAAGATTTTTATGCTTCCTTAGAATGGGAGTCTTGGTAACTTTCACTATCGGTGAAAGAAAAATGTGTATAAGTACTAAGTAACGGGTTTTTTAAGCGTGCCAGTAGGGCTCGCTTTTTGAAATCACTCGGATGTACCATAGTACAGCACACAGATCAACCAATGCTATTTAACGGGTCGTCCAAATACTTTTTTCCTCGCACCCGTTTCTTTGTCTTTGAACCATTACACTGTCAAGCCCTGATGGTCTTTTACCAAAAAAGCTAATGAACTGCTAATTGGAAACCCTTGAGAACATTTTTCTGTCAAAATCGTATTATTCAATTTGACAGAAACCTCATAGGAGCTTTCTTACGCTCGGAGGACTCAACTCTATAACCATCTTTCCCGCCAAAACTCTATAGCCAATGAGCGTCTTGCACTGTAAGTGCAATCTGTGATGAGCCTCGTGACTCATTATACTATGCCCCCATGGCCCCTGCCGAAATCCACTTAAACCACTACAGTTATCTCGCGATATAGCTTTGGGTGTCCGGTTTCGAGCAAGGCAATAAAAGACGGCGAGGCGATTAACCGATTAACCATTCACCGTGATGCCAGGATCCACTAAATTTTCTCAAAAATTGTTTTCCGTCTATTTAGCGAGTTTTTCTTTACTTTCCGTTGAAGTTCAAATAAAAAGAGACCTCCTTTGTACAAATCGGCCGAATAGGAGAGAAGTTACAGTTCGAAATCCAAAGAGATTAACTGAACGCGATTTCGATGCACGGCAGTTCGCCCAAATCACGGTCGTGCGCAAATGCCGCATATCAGCTTAAAATCAAGATAATTGGACGGAATCTTTAAAATTAATTTACATTCAACGTTCATGAATCAATATTTTCTCCCAAATTTAGCAAAAAGTACCAATTGATGCAAAAAGCAAAGACGTGAAAATAAGAGGTATTTGTCCAACATTTCAGTTATTCGGCACGCTTTTCCAACATACTCATGTTGGATTTTTTCTTCTTGTTTTTTTTTTATTTCAATAAAAACAAGTTTAAGTTTCAAAATAACATTGAACTTTGCGACTTGTAAAAAGTTTAAATTAACATTAAGGGACTAAAACTGATATATTTTGGTGTCGCTTTTTTCCCTTTTTATTGAAAAACTCATTTTGTAAGCAGTAATTTTTAAAATCGCAAAAATCTCGAATATTTAAGAAAACTTTATATTTTCTTTGAAAAACTAGTCAATGTAATGTTGTGACAACTTCCTTGGTTTTTCCTCTCCATCAGCAGAATATTTTGTAAACAATTTCAAGCTATGTAAAGACTTTTTTATCTTCGGAGAAATAGCACAAGAGCGGAAATTTTGAAACTCTGCGATGGAAATACATGTCTTTGCACTTTAGCCATCGATATCGTAATAAGTGAAAACCTTAGGCTCACATCAATGAATCGGAACCAAGTTACTTACGTATTCAGAAGGAGAGAATTAAAAAAATGGGTAAACAAGGCTAAAAACATTACACACGGTAAAAGGCAGGACGTTACTTACGTATATCTTCACATGCGCATGTTTATCCCAAGTTACAGAGAATTCTAAAACGCTGATAAGCATTATGTTGAAGCCTACGGTTTTGAATTCGAACTCGCCTGTTTTCCTACCAATTTTTTCCATCTGAAAAAGGAAGAGACATTATTAAAATATGATTGTAAAAAAGTAATTTTATAATCGGAAATATCCATGTGAATTTTCAACAATAATTTCCGAAAAACCACATTTCCGCGCTGAGAGAACACCTAAAATTCGCATGAACAGGTAACACTACCAGACAGGACCAACAGATGAGTTGAGATCAGCATATGGAGACCGAGACAAAGCGAAAGAGATTGCGTAAAAAGAAGAGATGTTGAGAAGAGGTCAAAGAAGTATAAAGGATGACTGATAGAGCGCAGTTCAAGACCGCAAATGCTGAAATAAGATCATCCACCGCTTATAGGAAGATTAACTCTTCCACCTTAAAAAGGAGCGGTTCTGCACTTGAAGAAGGACAGTGGGCTAAACGTAAATCCTTCATCCAATTAACTTGGTAAATAAAATGCAATATTTCGCACGCAAGTGCTTCATCGCTAAATCTTTTATTTTGTTTTCTCATTTAGAACTGACCGTGGTTTGGCTCGTGGTTAAAAATTATAATATTTTTTTTCAGACTGGTATTATTGAAGTAAAATGTTCGCATTTTCATACTAACCAAGTGAGAGGAGTACAGACGGTCATCATATGTGTACGACATGTTGCTGTAAAATTCGATTTTATGGCCCAAATGCATCAAACTGAGCATTTTTGAACAGCCGTCTCGAATTGAGCAGGTTTGGAACACTGGAATTGAAACAGAATTAAATTAAAATTTTACACTGTTGCTTAGTTTTGATTTTTTAACTTGCCTCTCTTTGCATGCTACTTAGATGGCGGCCATTGTGGCAGATTGTTTTTTCATCCTCTCGCTCAAACTATGTTTTACTGTTTTGCACATGTGTCCGCAGCATGGAAAACTAGTTTCAGGAGTGTTTAATTAAGTCCTACTGGAGTTAGAATCGTTTAATAAATGTTATCATTTTGCTATTAACAATAAGTATGTTTAATCGCTAAATTTGGCAAATTTGAAAACGGTATGCTGTCAAAACGGTCTTCCTCTCTGCTTGTGCTAGTGCAGTAAAAAAAATAGTACATTTTTAAATAAATTCCCCCTTTTTCAAATATGTTATAAACTTTTTGAACCATTATGCTGCAAAAAGCTAAGTGAAAATAAATAAAATCGGAAGAAATATTGTGGTATGTCAACCTTATGCACATAATTCCTCTTCTTTCAATTAATTTTCAAACAACTCCTTTTAGCACAAATACGTGCATTTTTATGCTCGCCAGCATTATGACGTGAACAAAATGACCAAAACTTAAAAAATCGAAAGGAACCATGTAGCATGTAAACCTTATACACACACTTTTATTATACACTTTTTTAGTGTTTAATTTTTTCACCTTATACACAGCATAGTTCCTCTTGTTTTAATTCATTTTCAAGTAATCAATTTTAGCATAAATACGTGCATTTTTATGCTCGCTAGTATTATGAAATGAAAAAAATGATCGAAACTTACTGGTAAGATTCCACAAATTGCTTTCTTTGTCCCTTGCGAGAATGTGATTACAGATATCCGCCTTGTAGTGCGTATGATCAAACGTACTGACAGTTTTGTCCGTGACCTCACATTTTGTGTCCGGGATCGGTTTTGTTTTACACTTGTACATGGGGCAGATGGACTCCCTGGAGGCCAAATTCTCCAGCTCGTATCCGCGCGGACAAGCTGGCGGAGAAATACACTCGACCGAAGCGTCGCTGTCTGGGGCACACTCGAACTCAGGGCAGACCGGCTCCTCTCTCTTCTGATGGGCAGGGTATTTCGGCCTCTTCTGTCCCTGTTTTTGCTTCGAGTTTTTGTTCTTGATATTCTTGAAGTGCTTGCTCAAAGCTTGATTTTTGCTAAATGCTGAGCCCCAGAAGCTGATATCCACTTCAATGTGCGTCTCGGTTGTTACCCAACTTGTTGTCTGGACACTTTGGGTGAGCTGGATACTTTGAGATTGTTCCATGCTTTGGGATTGTTCCATGCTATGAGATAGTTCCATGTTTTGAGATTGTTCCATACTTTGAGATTGCCCGTACTGTTCGTTTTCTTGTTCCTCTTGAGCCCTCCGTCGTGCCGCGAAGTTGAATCTCTTTATTCTCTTGACGATTGTGCGAGGTTTGTAGCCGGGTGGACATGTTATTGTTGGGCACTCTTTCTCTGTGAAACAATGAAAAAGTGACACCATTATGAAAAAAACCTTGACAACTTTCCTAATTGCCATTGAAAATTGACTGGGCGTAAATTAGAAAAAAGTATGCAAGACGGACAGTTGTTTGGTTTGCAAGGATCAAGTTACGAAAATAACGTAAAGTAACCACGTTAATGTATACTACTGGCAGGTCAAAATTTCTTAAGAATTATTCTCCGCAGAAATTCATGGAAAATCTGCGCCGCGGAAGAATTTTATGCGACCAAAAAGATTTAAAATTCCAGGAGCCCCCTAACAAAATGACCCATTGACCCACGCACGCCTATGTAAGACGTTGGAATGAAATTCGGCGCAGAGCTAGCGCAATAACATTTTTTGGGAATCCAAAAACGAAGCTTGCAAGCATCACTTGTAGAAGTCAGTGGGCTTAAGTATTTCGATTGCATAGTCCTTGAAAAGACTAAAATCATTAGGGAAGTTCCTGACCCCCTTTTACAGCTTTCAGAGTAGAGAGGCAAAAAAATAATCTAATTGAAAGTATGCATCCTGATAAAGATACAAGTAAAAATAGCAGATTTACATTAGGACGTATTTGTGCTAAAAGGAACCAGAGACAGGCGAAAAAGAAGGGTCTGCTGGTTAGTTGTAGGCCGTAAGGACGAATAGGAATCATAAAACGCTAGTGACGTCAGCTGCAACGACAGAAACAAACTTCCGCGGATCCGAGTCTTCAACGCATGAGCCCTGACCATAACGTTCTTGTCACATGCTCACGGCTCATGAGTTAGCATATTTTGGCGCCTAGTCCCTTTTTGATTTAATGTCCACTTTTCGATTTTCCCAAAAAGAATCACGTCCGCAACTCAAACGAGCACACCCCCATCTTTCCCACGCGTTTATGGCCCCCTTTAGCATGCTTACATCCATTAAGTCCACGGCCTTTTTGGAATCCTAACATGCTTACCTTTCACGATAGGAGCCTTCGTGCAGGATAATTCGTCTCGGCTGTCATCGCAATCAGTGCGGCCGTCGCACCATTTAGACTCTGAGATACATTTGTTGATCCCCTCCCTGCGGCAGAATCGGGTTCCACTGGGACAAGGCTGGCATAGACATCGGCAGCTTGGTGTCGTGGCGGGTACCAGATCAGAATCGCAAGAGCACGACAAGGGGCTGCACTGGAGGTCCCCGCCGAGGAGACACAAACACTTCTGGCAGGTGTCGTCGAAGAACACCTTTCCGACATCGTAAACGTGCGGCCCAACTACGCACGGACACAGCAGCTTTGAGACACAGTTGGTACCGTTCCATCTTTCGTTTGGCCGGCAAGCGCAGCTCGGGTTCGGATCGACCCCAGGGCAGGGCGTGCAGTAGGATTTTTTGGGGATGGCAGGGATTGCAGGGATTGCAGGGTTCTTCGTCACCTCGACCGTTGTTGAAGGGATGGTTGTGCACTCGTACTTGTTGTTGAAACATTGGCAGATCTTTTCGCCGTGGATCTGAACCTCGCCGGGCTGGAAATGAAAACAAACAGACTCGGTTTACTTTATATGCATGTATTCGATCTCAGTGAGATTTAATGTTGGAAATTGCAGGACGATGTAGATAAGGTCGTAATTTAGGCGAGATACGACGCGATATTGATGATCAAGCTTTAATACAACTATTCGTACTCGAGGGATGTCCTTGTTGCATATGTGGATAATTGAAGGCGTTTTGCTTTTCGCACATCTCACGATGATGGAGTTCTTGCATGCATGCAGTATGGCCTTGTCTCCACGGAACGTTCTATTGGATTTGTCCCGAGTTCGAATCGCAGGAATGAAACCTCTGGGCTTTCTCCCCTCAAAACAAAACAACAAAATTTCCTTCTCTTCTCTCCGAGTCGTCCTTAGGACTTAAAAAGGACTCCGCTTGGCACTGTGATTAGTATCGACTAACTCCATATTTTTCCCAACTGTGCATGTGAGATTGTTCCCTGGGATCCCGAGCACGTCTCTTAAAGATAAAGCCTATGAATTTAAAATGTATATATTTCAACGTAAATACTTTTACTACGAAAAAACGTGGTGACAGTGCCACTGATTTCTGAGGCCTTGTCTTCAGGGAACGATTCATGGGATTTGTCCCAGGGAGAAATCTCAATTGTGTGGGCGAAGTTGGGGAAAATATTTAGTTAGTCGATAATAATCACAGTGCCGACTAAAAGTCATTAAAGAGCTCCAGGAACAACTTTAAAAGAAGAAGAAAAAATTTTGTTGTGTTGTTTAATGGGGAAAAATCCCAAGAGTTTCATTCTTGCGAAGAACTTGGGAAAAATCCCGTGAAACGTCCCACGGCGACAAAGGCGTAAGATCAACGCAGTATTTTACTCTGAAAAAACTTGCGAAATTACCTTCAGATAAGCTCCATCCGGCGTGACGCACACACACTCTCGTGCCGGTGAACACCGCCCAACGCCCTCCCAGAGATATCCCTCACGACAATCATCCAAGCTCTCAGGCCAGCATCCACCGATACAATCATCCTCAGAATCTCCACACAATCCACTCTTTTTCGCCTCGTGCAACTGTTTGCCGCACAGCTGCCCGCACCGGATTTTGCACTCTAGGTACTCCTGTCCTTCTTCACATCTCCCACCGAGTTGGGGACTCTCAGTGGTTGTAGGAGTCTCCGTCGTCGCAGGGCTGGTGAAGAGGTCCAAAGACTTGCAGGGTCTGCTCGTGCACACAACGCTACCCTTGGAGCAGAAGCATCTGCGACATTCATCGGACATCGTAGGGACCTCGTCTCCCTCGTGGTAGGTGACGCCATCGGAGACTGAGCAAGGGCAATGGGAGATCGGCACACAGGTGGAGTTATCGGAGCTGTAGATTACTTCTCCTTCAGGGCAGGTGTGGCAGTCGTTGAGGCGGCATCCCTCGATGCAGGAGTCCGTGCACGTGGAGGTGGGTTGGTGGAGGCTCTGGCAGGTCGGTGGTGGGCAGGGTGAGACGCAGGGTTCGTAGCTGGAGGAATTTGAACACTGGAGAGGGCAGAGGTGCTGCGACCGCCAGTTGATGTGAACCCCGCGTGTGTTGCATTGTTGAGCGTATTCGGAGATGGCGGTGCATAAGCATTCGCAGTCGCCACC